TCATTCCTGCTGGCGGTGTACAAGTTACATGCTCTGTATACACTGAAAGACTTGTATGAACAAGACCGGAGAGAGATTTAAATATTTCTCACGAAATACCACCTGCAATTGGAATAATGTTAAGACACTGTTGTGATCAGCTTCTACGGTGTAAAACCGAACTCTGGAAGGCCAGCGGATGCGTAACTATTTAATGGATCAGCTGATAGACCCATGTGGGACATAACTCTGACCCACAAAACTCCACAACCTTTCATCACATCAGTGTATTTGTGAATACAATACTTTAAAGTTAGTTTAGTCTTCTCGAATAGTGTGCAGGTGAATGCGCTAGTGTCAATGAACCTTCCCCCCCCCCTCCCTGCCCTATCTCCTCACACACAACCACACCACGCATACATACCCCACTTACCTATTCTTCATTTAATTACTAGTACAACCATTGGCATATTTCAATCCTTAGATTCTTCATGGTGACCATATCATGGGAGACGAGTTCGTCCAAGTGTGGCAGTTGATCTCCCAAGGTGCCATCAAAATCACATCTTTCAAGATGCCAGGTGTCGCAGATATGCAGGTGAGTTCTGTCGCACACTTCTACTACATTTAAGTAGGCAGCATTTGTTTTAAAAAAAGTATGATGCTAGGTAAGCTTCTAATGGAGTTTTCAGTGCTACTAATACAGGTGACCAGAAGCTGGAATTATTTAATTGCGAGATGACACAGATACAAGTGCGTCCTGTTGAATTTAAATTACATGTAAAGCTTTAACTTAAATATTTCAGTGGTATATATACTCAAATCAGGAAAGTCAACGGATCTCTAACTGTACTGTGCACTCTCCAACACGGTTAATAAATTAAGGTGTTAGTCTGGGGACAGTGTCACTATGTACAAAGCTTCTGCAGCACATAATCAGTTTTTGTTTTTTTTTGTTTAGCTTCTCTGTGTTGTACAGGTGGTAATGATGGGCGAGTTGCCGTGTCTGGTGGTGGTAGAGGCTCGTGGCACAGACACGGTCCTCATGTGCGAGAGAGAGAACAGTTTCTTTGAACGACAGCGCATTCACACTCGCAACCCTGCCAAAGTGAGTGAGTTGGTACCATCAACCTTACCAATAGCAGTCTGTATTCACATTGATCTTAAGGTGTAATGTCTCGCCAGCACGTGGGCATCCCCTTCCCCCCCCCCCCAACTGCTCATATGTGAAGAATACATGTAATGTATAATTAAAGTGGTAGGCATGGGCACTGTGAACTTACAAGCTGATCAGTGAAAGCTTATGTTCCCATATACTTTTGTTTGATATCACCAAAGCTTTTTCTTCTGGTTCCATCGCTCTTTTCACACTGAACACTTTCTTCTCGTAAAGAAATTATCTAGGCCATCACAAGCCACTCTTCCATGAAAGAAAGGCAATAAAACCCTTTTTAATTTAGTTTTGTCTTTGATAAGTGTATGTGCTTTTATATTTTGTCATATTTTTCAGGTACATTTTACAATCACGTAAACAATGTACATTCAATCTTTTCTCAAAATTCGCTCACAATAACAAACGTGCGAAAAAATTTTTTAACATCTTCGCTTGTTATTTTTCTCTGGCCAGAAATTAATTCTGATATCTCGTAAGTGGATGCTGATCATACATCTGCACGTCAGATTTCATACAGCACTAAGATAACGTCTAAACATCTAACTGCTATTTCCCCCCCCCCCCCAAGACTTTACTGAATGTTTGCACTACCTCTTTCATCCCTTCTCACTGACCACCTCCACAAAGATAGTTCCTTGAAGCCGTTGAATAGCTTATCAATAAAATTGCATGTTATGATCCTTGTATTCTTGCGGATTTAGCTTATCCTTTAAATATTGTAATTAACACAGTATGTTTGTCACTAACTTGCTTTAATAGGAACAGTTATACTTGTGATAAATATTTACTAATGAGCTCTTCCGGGTGTGCTGATGAATGTTGGGTATACTATTGAGTGTTCGGGTTTGCTAAAGTGTTTACCATCTTCAGGTATGTGTGTGTCATCACCGTGATCCTTCTGGCCGCATCATTACACTGATGGCCTTGGCTGACTCCGGAGACTCTACCCAGGCTGTTGGCTCCATTTACGTGTATATTTACGACGAAGCTTTCGCAGAGTTCTACCTGGTGCAGGTGTGTCAAGATGTGTAGAGGGGATACTACTCGGCAAGTACCTCTGACAGTTTGTCAAAGAAACTAAGCGCAAATAATGAAGTCGGCCTCATGATCACTTTCTTGAGGAATATATAGTGCAATAACCTACGTGGTGTGAAAATAAGGTTCCAGATATTTTCAGTAAGTTTGTTTATACCTCAAGGGAGGTTCTTTGATGCCAGTGAGGGACTCCCACCAATGTCTTTCTGGCTCACTTAGGGAAGGGAAAAGGGGGAGGGATATATTTGCTATACCCTTTCGTAACATTCTGCTTCTTGCAAAGGGGCAGGGGAAAAATGTTCATTTTCCTGCTGTTTGACATTCCTTCTGATTGTAGCTTGGTTTATCTCTGGGTATGTCGCGAGAACCCAATCTAGCTAAAAGTAGAGTATGAAGCGGCAGTTAGAGGCACATTTTAGAGATCTTGTGACCTAACGTCCGTCCGATTTCTAAGGAAACCCTGGTGATAAACTTATGAAACTAGGTAGTATTGTACCCTCCTTTTGTATCATGACCCAGTGGAGGTGGTGTCTGCCGTAAATTATTTGACTCGATCTTGACGGTGTCTTGTTACTTGCTCGAACCCGAGTATGATATTCTGTTTCTGAATACTGATATGCATCAGGTTAGAAGGATTAAGGTGGGTATTATGGTGAACACTAAATCGCTGAACCTATGATTGGGCGAACCGAATCTTTTCCCTCTACGTAGTGAGTGTAGAGACCTGAAAGCAAAGCAGTTTCTCCTTCCCATTACAAACCAAGGTGCAAGAAGTTTGGACACGCGAGACGGTGCAAGGCAACCCAAAAAAAAACTTAGGTTGCATATAGGGCTGTATTTGACACTGCCCACTTTATTGTAATATTGGAGTCACATTTGAAGAGGCTCCCAAAAGTCTCATGTGTGGTGCACAAGAGGAACAGTGCACTGCTGCGCTGTATGGGGAAGACATTTTGCAGAGGCTAGTAAGAAGACGCTCACACATCTTGGCCGATCATGAGCAGCAGTTGCTCCCAGCTGCTGGACCTCGGCTACTGGGGATGATCCTGTACCCTACGACGCCTTTCAAGGTTGCCTGTAAGGATAGTGCAAGTTTAAAAAGTTTTATCATAAGATTTATAACTGATGCTGTTATTTTAATCAGTGTTGGTACACTACACAAATAACCCGCACATAGGAGAGAGGAACTCACGACGATGTTTCGGACCGACTTTGACCATTTACGAAGTCACACTAATGAAAAGGAAAGGGGGGGTATATATATAGGTCAGCAGACAGACGGAACAAGAAAGGTAGTAGGAAAGGAAGAGAGGTAGTGGTAGTATAGTGGAGTCAGTGTTGGTAAATGTTGTGCTTATTATTTGGGCTAGTAAATTTTATTTTATTTTGTATGTTGCCGCAAGCATCTTTTTTTTTTTTAATACCAGGTGCACTAAATGATCATGCAGCTCAAATCACTCTTCCTATCTCAAAACTTGCCTATGGATCGTTTCACAACTTAGACAATCATTTTTGATGTCTGATATTTTCCTGAGCAGGAGCTGCTGCTGGAGAACTTGGTGTGGGTGCATCTCTTCTCCTACAACGCTGATCTGTTGATGGTGGCGCTCTCGGAGGATGTTCACGGTGATGGAGGGGGCAAAGTGGTGGTCTACAGGTAAGTGAAGTAATCACTCGATTTCTGGTAGACTAAGGTAATGAGGTTGGTTTCTTAAATTACTAATTTTCAGTAGTCATTTGTAAATTTTTTTAGGCATTTTACCAAACTGTCATCACTTTCTGGTAATTTTTTTCTTTGACATGGGGTAAAGTACAAAAAAAAACTAGGCAGCAATTTTTCTTTTTGCACTTATATCAGGGAAAATAACTTGATTAAAATGTACCTGTTAACATATTGAAGCTAAAATAAAAATTACTGACTCAATTTAGACTTGTTCTCAGAACAAATATCAGTTTGTAGAAGAATTTAATACAGATTTCGTAATTTACGTGAATTTTTTTTTTCAGACTGGATTGGATCATTGGCAAGGGTATTAAATTACTCGGTCACTTGGGTAGCTCCAAGACTGCTGCTGCGGCTACATTACTCTCGACCAACCCTAGTTTCTTCGTGGCACAGGAGCTGCCGGTCGATCTCCCGAAGGAAGCTCAGTTCTCCCGTATACCTACAGGAGAGGTCTGTCTCTACGTGATCAACCGTAACGGGCTTGTTACTTGGTTCTGTCAGGAGGGCATCCACAGGTGAGAGCTTGAAGGAAAGTTTATCAAAGTGCAAATGAACGTTAAATTTCCCTAGTGCTAAGTTGCTGAAACTGAAACCTAATATGGCACCCAGTGTACACTTAATAGGAAGTTTTGAATTTTAACATTCTACTACATTCACAGATTCAGGAAGGAAGGAGAACTTCATGTGCCAGGAAAACTGACTCTGGAGGCCTGGATGATCTCCGATGGAGAGAAAATGGTTCACAGGATCTCTGTGGCCGGTCAGAGTTGCTCAGACTCGAAACAAACAGCACCTCAGCTACCTGCTGAGGTGCTGGAGATGAGAATAAGAGGGGCTGTATATGAAAATTAGCAAATACAAAATGTTAGAAATTTCAAGAGGTACTAAAGATGTAAAGTGATTTTAATGATCTCGAGTATATAGCTTAAATCTTAACATTTGTCGACTCTGTTGAGCTATAAAAATATGAATTGGTTTGAATATTTTCTTGCTTATCCAAATTTTTGGATACACCATGTTGGCACGGGTAATTAACCATATTCATGAAAACAAATAACTTTGTTGTCGAAGTGTTTTAAGAATACTTGTGTAGAAAGATAGTTGCGCTGTTTTTAAATAATTTATAATAGAATTTACACAATTGTTTTTATTGTTGAAATTGAGTTTCTTCCAATGGTAATCGTGTAGTTTTAAAGTTTTATTCCTGTTATTTAAATTCTTGCCACTGAGTCACATTTGTTTATAAAAACTTTAATGTTATCCTGAGAGTGGTTTTTGAA